GTCCCAACCCAGGGTAGAGGAGAAGCCCTGGAGCCAAAATCTCTTTGATGAGCAACTTCCAAACGCGGCCACGCCCAAAATATTGCACTTAGCTCTGGGCAACGTGTTTTGGGAGAGATCCTGCCATGTTTGAAACCCAGGCTAGGATATATCCCTAATAATAATAACAACACCAGAGCCAGGCGATGGATGACATGGTTTATCCCAGAAGGAACTGCACAGGCTGGATCAGGCTGGGATGGACCCAGTGCCGACAGAGACGAGCACGAGCTTCAAGCAGGGAAAGAACAAGCCATGGGCTCAGAGAAAGGGATGGAGCCCAGCCTGTTCCCAGGAATGACAATGGAAGCTGTCAGAGCTGTGGCTGTGGGATAACCCACGGAGGGAAGAGCTTGAGATGACTCAAAAGCAGCCAAGCTGCTGCTGGGAGGAGGAAATGAGGGAGCTGGCTCCGGGACAGGGGAATCGTGTGTCACATCCAGCCCTTCCCAAATTGCTTCCCTCCTGGTATCCCTGTGGAACTGCTCCCGGGTTTTGGAGGCACTGGGTTCCCTGCCAAGCCCTGGGGGTGGTTATCAGAGCCATGGGCAGGACAAAGCAGGGAGCTCCCAGCATCATTTCTGCCTGGAAGTGGGAAGAGACTTGGCGGGAAAGGTTCCAGCCCGTCGCTCCCGGCAGGAGCCGGCCAAGACATTGACTCCAGTAGGGATGGAGTTGGGTTATCCCAGCCAAAAGGAGGGAGGAAATTCAGATGATGCCTTTGCCTCTCATTCCAAAAGGAAGAGCCAAAAAGCCTGGCCTGAAATGCCGCCCCATCTCAAGGCTTGGACCTGTTTACAGCAGAGAAATAAACACGGTGAAAACATCGGGAAAAAGGGTTTTCCGGTCACCTGAGGTCTTCCATGGGGAATGTCAGGTGAATTCCCAAGGGATAGTTTGTCTTGGCCCATATGAATTGACACCTATTCCCTGCACAGAGCCAGGGAGCCTCCAAGCCCCAGATCAGGGTAACAGAGACGTGGCCCAGGAGACAAGACTGAAGCGAGACCAGCTCCATCCCCTCAGATCAGCCTCTCTCCTGCCCAACCAAAGGACAAGGATTTTTCTGTTGATTCCTCCCCCAGAATAAGATGGATGGAAGCCCATCACCCAGAGAGCAGGTTCTTGGGGAAGGAAGTGCCCTCAGAACCCCCCTGGGCCATCCTGGCTCTGCAGGAGCCTTTGGAGGCTCAAATGACCCCAAGCCAAGTGGCCAGTGCAGTTCCTGCTTGGCTTCCAGTTCCAGCTGGCAGGGACATCTTTCCCTGGAGAAACCCAGGAATTCTTGCCCTCCCTCCAGCAAGCAAGGTAGGGCTCCTGCCACCCTCTGCCAGGTATTTTGGGATTTCCAAAGGAAGCAGTGTCATCCTTGGAACAGGGATTCCCAAGGTCTATTCCCAGCTGCCTGTGGGACACGTAAAACCCCAAATTCCTCTATGCGGGACAAGCAATTATATGAAGAATGTGTTTACTCCAGGCTCCAGGCATGTCCCAGCTCCTGTAAACACACACCCTCCCTGCCCCAGGGGAGGGCAGAGGGGCCCTGCAGATGTGCCAGCCGGGGCACCTTGAGATGTCAGCCAGGCACGAGGTGGCAGGAGCCAAACCCTGGCACATGCCCGAGCCTGTGTGCCCAAAACCAGGAGGGCAGGAAGGTGAACGGAGCAGGGAAGGGGTGCTAGAAGTCCAGGCACCATCTGGTGCAGCTGCAATTAGGGAGAAATGAGCTGCAGAAATGGGCTCCTTTCACCTACTCTGCTGACTAGCAAGGAGCAGGGAGATCCTGGGAAATCTCCTCTTTTCCCACAGGATTTCAAGATAACCCTTGGCTCATGCAACGATGCCACTCCTGGGTGTCACATCTCCAAAGCTGCCAGGCTTGTGTGTGTTCACCCCAGGAGCTGGGAGCAGTGCCCATTTTCCATCCCTTCTGCTTCAAGCCTTTCTCTCATCCCCCCTCCAGGGCTGGAAATCCCCCTTGGGATGCCTGGTTGGGATCACTCCGTGCTACAAGCAGGCACAGACCGTCCCAAGCTGGCACAGCTCGGTGGGTGTAATCCCCCACAGGACCTGGTGGTTATCTCCAAAACCTCCCACCACTGGGGGGTTTCTCCAGCTGGATTTGGATGCAGCTCCAGGCGTGGAGCAGAGGGACACAAGGCAACTTTTATGCCCCATACACTTCCAGGAGGTTCCCAGAGCAATCCCAGCCCTGGCTGGGTAATGGGGGCAGCCACTGCTCCACAAAGGACAAGGGAGGATCAGAGGGTGGTGGGGTGACCTCCAGCACCCCTGGGGCTGCTCAGAATAGCACTCACCAGAGGGGCCACAATAGGGGCCCTGTCTGGCTCTGGTGGCACTGAACAGGGTCCTTGAGCAGGGAGTGTCACACCACAGGAATTCCCCGGCGTCAGGGGGAAAATATTCCTCTGGAGCCGGAGGACAGGCGGCTCCTGCGGCGGGAACCAGCCCCCTGAGGGCACCCCTGGGTGTCCCCAGGGCAAAGGGTGTGGTGCCACACCATCCCTCGGTCAGGTTTGGAGGTCCCCCACCCCATTCCCAACCGCTGGGAAGTTAAACTGGTGTGGTGGTGGTGGTGGCACCACCCGGGGAGGGCACAGCCCCAAACGAGTCATCCTCACTCTCTCTCTCCAGGCAGTTTCACACTCCGCCCCTCTCAACGGCCTCTGTTTTGTTTTCCTTCTTTCAAACAAGAAGAGGAAAAAAACCCCTGAAACACCTAAAAAACACCCCCCCTCCCCCCTAGTGCTGCACCTCTGCTGGGGCTCTGCGGTTTGTGGTTCCAACCCAACAAAACAAGTGGTCATGGCAACGTCTCCAAAACAGCCCTCACCTCACTCACTCGTGTGAGTGTCATCTCACTCACCCTGCCCCAGCCCCCTTCCACGGCACCACGGTCCCAGATTCCCCTAAGGAGCTGGGAGACAGCAAAGCTGGTCCCCATCCACATCAGACCCAGCTCAGCCGCCTCCTGTCAGCTCCTGATGGGGTTGGTGCAGGAGTCACACACTGGGATGTGCTGGGAGGGCAGTGGTGGAGCTCAGGTGGAGGCATCTCCAAAAAAACAGGTGTGAAAAGAAGCAGGGAAGGACCCAGAGAGCACCTTCCTTT